AGTGAGGTGAGAAGAGGAGAGGTGAATGTTGAGACGAGAGAACGAACGTTTACTGTTAGAGGATGCAGGAGCAGGTGGCGAGAGAAGAAAGAGCTTCTGAGAGAAGAGAGGTAGAGAGAGTAGAAAGAGAGTAGCGGAGAGATGGGGGAGGAGGGAGTCGAGCAAGTGTATGTGGATGACAGGCGAGGACTTGATGTGATGAGTGGAGAGGAGAGGAGTTACGAGGAGAGTGAGATGATTGAGTGTAGGAACGAGGAGGTGAGGTGAATGGAGTGAGATGGAGGACGTGAGAGGAGCGACAGAGGAGAGTGGAGATGATGGCGAGAGTGATGAGGACGCAGGAGTAGAGTCATGATGCTTGGAGGGGTCGCATCGCAGTCGCATAGCTTGCGGAACTTAGCGAGATCATGTGAGGATAGAAGTGGAGACTGATGGAGATTGAGGTTATGATAGAGAAGAGTGAGGAAGATCCAACGTAGAAGTGGATGATTTCGAGGGAGAAGAGACGGACTGAGGACTGGCACGGATGTGAGAGAGAGGAGAAGACGAGAGAGAGTAGAGGAGCGGAGAGAGCAGGTAAGAGGATGAGAGGATAGAAGAGGTGAATTATGTGAGGAGGAGAGTGGAAGAGCGATGAGAGGTGTGAGAAAGAGGGTCTGTGGACGAGAGGATGAGATGGTGAGGAGATGAAGAGTTTAGTGAGGAGAGAAGTTTGGACTGATTGGGATTGCGGGGGAGAGGCGAGAGATGAGAGGAGGAGGGGAGTTTGGGGATTGAGAGATCAGAAGGAATGGAGAGTGCTGAGGTGAGAAGTTGAGGTGGTGGGTGACGAGATCTGCGTTGAGCCCCAGAGTTTCTATATTTGCGAGGGGGGGTTCCCTACGAGCGAGAGACGAGAAGATCGGTCTGGAACGGCGAGTGGAGAGGGATGATTGAGATGGGACAGAGGGGGACGATGATTCTGGGAGCTATGGTTAAGTAAGGGGTGGGTGTGTTATCGTTGGTAGTCCTTTTTATGGACGTGGATGGGATGAGGTATCGAGATGAGGAAGGGCGGTCAGATGCTGGACGGGATATGGAGGACGGTAGATGAGTGGAGAGGCGTTGAGGATGAGTGAGAATAGAGGAGAGAAGAATGAACCTGCAGAGATGGAGGGTTAGTGCTTGAGGATGGAAATTTCCCTGAGGAAGTTGGATGCGTATCGCGTACAGGAAGGTGTCCTGAGAGGTGTTTATGAGCCTTGAGCGTTACGTTGATGGCGATTTCTGTGAGACGAGATGAGCTATAAGTTTCCGACCGATAGAGAGAGAGAGTAGAGAGCGAGGCGGTGCCCATGATGGGCAGGGAGGGAGAGAGGAGAGAGACGGGGGTTGAGAGAACGATGTTGAGAGAGAGATGAGAGAGAAGTGTGACGGAGAGGATGAGAGGAGTGATGATATGGAGACTATGGAGAGAGAAGGAATAGTGAGAGATCTAAGTCGGCGGTGCGATTTTTGAGTGGGAGGACCTGAGGCCGGGAAATCCCTTGCGGAGTATATGGTGGAATTGGAGAGGGATACGAGTAGTCGGGTAGATGGCGGGACCTTGAAGAAGTGAGATGGCAGAGTGAGGGTAGGCCAGGAGGAGGAGATGCGCATGGGGAAGACGATGGTTGCGAAGCTAGGAGAGGAGCGAAGAGTGAGTGATTTAAGGGAGAGTGAAATGATTGCTCCTGAGACGAGATGCAGGATTGGGAGTTGAGCTGTGTGATCGAGATGGAGAGAGACGAGGCGAGTGTTGTGTCGATCGTGAGATCGTGGACGAGTGGAGATGAGAGATGGAAGATTAGAGTTTTTGGCGGAGGGTTAATGATTGATTTGATGGGGAGTTCTGAGCCGTGGGAGCCCGAGAAGGCGATGAGGACAGACGGTTAGATGAGGAGGCCGTTGGAGGTTAGAGCACTCCGGAGTCGCTGCAGAGGGGAAGATGTCGGAGCGGGATACGAGTTAGACGGAGGAGGGATTGTGCTGAAAGGATGGGAGAGTGAATGACGAATGCGATGGCGTACCGCGTTCGAGAGAGTAATGATATCCATTGGACGGCGATGGATCTTGGGAGAGTAGAGATGACTCGAGATTTTCTTTTTCTTGGGACGTGGAGTCAGACCGTCGGTTCGATGACTGGAGAGTCGAACGAGAGAGAGAGACGGGAAGAAGAGGGAGATGGTGAATGGTATGGCGGAGGAGAACGCGAGAGCGATGAGAAGAGGGAATAGAGCGATTCTTGATGAGGAGGAACTGACGTTTCTTGTGAGAGGTGGTGGGCTATGCTGGACAGAATGAGGAGGAGCCAGGAGAGAGGTGTTGTTGTAGCTGGTACCGGAAGAGAAGCCAGGTGACTAGATCGATCGATATTGGCATGTGATGAGATGAAGGAGAGGAGATGTTGATTGGAGAGCACTTCTGAGAGATAGCTTAAGAAGGTAAGTGAGACGAGATGAGAGTGGGAGAGTGCGAGAGGTGATGGAAGAGGAGAGTTGGGTGTGGAGACGTGAGAGATGTGTGATGGAGGAGGGGAGATTCATGGAGTTTGTGAGAGATGGTATAGAGATGGAACGATGGAGATCTTGAGTGGTGAGGGGTGATGGAGCAGAGAGGAAAGAGAGGAGAGGTGGAGGAGACTGAGAGAGGAGAGAGAGTTAGAGGCATTATTTCGGAGTGAAGACTTTGGTGGGAGAGTTACAAATGACGAATGAGGGATGGGGGACTACGTGGAGGATTGAGGCAACACGGACCTTGTAGAGTGGGAGGGAGGAGAGAGAAGAAGAAGAGAAAGATACCGAGAAAGATGAAGGACGAGAGGAGGGAAGAAGGGGGAAAGGGAGATAATACGAGGACGTGAGGGGAGAGGAGAAAAGAGAGTAAAGAGGAAAAAGGTTGGAGGACGAGAGGGGGAGGAGGATGAGAGGGGGGACGAGTTGAGCAGAGAGCATGAGATTGGAGGGGAAGAGAGAGGATCCTGATGAGAGAGAAGAGGAGAAAACGAGGGGAGAGGACGAAAGTAATTGACAATGACGCCGCGAGACCGATGAGACCAGATGTGGGACTGACTGGGAAGGGACACCGAGAACAGAGAGAGGGGGGGGGGTGGACGAGAGATGGAGGAGGAGAAGACGAGACGATACAGAGAGTGAGGGGGGTTGGACGAGCTGTACAAGAGTTGATGCTGGTAGTGGGGATCCGACTCAGACGGGGGAGATGACGAGAAGAGGGAAGGCAGGAGATTTGAGATCGGCGGCGAAGAGAGGAGATGAGGAGAGGGGGGGGGGGCGAGAGGAGGGAGTGAGGAAGAGAGACGAGGGGAGAGGAAATCTGAGAGGGACGGAAAACAGGGGAGAAGACCATGAAGTGAACAGAGGATGAGTACGCGACTAAGAGAAACCAAGCAGACGACAGGTGAGGAGAATGAGTACCAGAGAGAGAACAGAGACTTGAGTAAGAGAGTGACAGATTTTTAGAAGTGGAGGGATGAGAGACGAGACATGGATGAGAGAGAGTAAGAAGAGAGAGGAAAGACGTGATGATTAGAGGGGCAGGAGTGACGTGAATGAGAGAGAGGGACGGAGAGAAGACGAGGAGGGACGGACTTGACTGAGATGAGTTCAGATGATGGGTAGAAGAGAGTGGGAGAGGAGAGTTCGGAGAGAGGGCGAGATGGGATTAGGTAACGAGAAGACGAGGAAGGGAGAGTGAGAGGAGGATTGACAGGACTGAGAGGGTATGAGCTGAGAGTGAGGCTGGGGGAATGAAGAGAGTGAGAGGATGTTAGGCCGTGCGGGAACTAGAGAGTGGGACGGAAGGAGTAGAGGAACTGATGAGGGACTGTGGAGAGACGACCTTGAGAGGATCAGACAGAGCTTGATGGGTGCGAGGAGTCGATGTTGGAGGAGGTGTCCTGGATTTGGGACGGAGTGAGAGTAGGAGATAACGGGTGAAGAGTCGAGAGAGAGGTATGAGAGAGTGAGAGACGAGAGAGACGAGATTGAGGTGGGGGATTGAGGCAGATTAGAGGAGTCTATGATGAGGTTCGATGGCGAGTTTTGAGAGGAGGTAGGGGGCGATCTTGAGGAGGGCCTGTGTAACGAGATGTAGGTGAGGGAGGAAAGATGAGGGTGGGCACGAGAGGTGGAGAGGGAAGTGATGAGAGTATGGTGGAGAGGGATAGAGACGAGAGGGGTCGAGGGAGGAGATCTGAGGAGGTTGGTGAGCACGATGGGAAGAGGGGGATGATCGGGGGGAATAATGATGAGAGGAGGCGAACGGAGAGGGAGAGATGGAGTGATGATGGATGGGATGGGAGATAGAGAGTGAGAGAACGGAGAGGAGAGACGAGTTTAGAGGGATTAGAGAGAGTACGATCTTTTCGAGGAGAGGAGAGGGAAGAGAGATGATGAGAGGAGGAAGAGAAGAGACTGAGAGGCGTTTGTTTGAAGGTGGGGAGATCCGGGGAGAGCGAGAGAGGATTGAGGGGGTAGTGATGAGAGAGAAGAAGCGACGAAGTGGGATAGAGGTGAGATAGGAAGATGAGGAGGGTGTGTTGAGAGGGAGGAGAAGGAAGAGACAGAGAAGAACAGATGTATGAGTGTGAGACGAGTGGAGAGAAGGAGGAGACGAGGAGAGAAAGACACGAGAGAGAAAGGAGAAGACGAAGGAGAGAGAGCAGAGCAACTCGAGAGAGGAGAGAGACAGAGTAAGACGGAGACATGAAGAGGAGGAAGCAGAGTAAGTGAGAAGGAGAAGAGCGCGGGGACACACCAGATAGAAGACCTAGAGGAGAGATGGGTGGAGAAGAGACGACTAGGCAGTGCCTTTGGGAAGAGAGAAGAGAGATGACATGAGAGAGATGAGAGAGACAGAGAGACAGAGAGATTAAGAGACCACAGAGAGACTGGGGAGGGAGGAGGACGGAGAGAGAGGTGGGGAGAGGAGAGTTTCAGAAAGTGTCCTCTTCACTGAACTCCTCCACTTATATGATGTTTTCTAAGTGGTTGTGTTTTCATAGCAGATGTATGTTAACTACCGACAAAGAATTCTAATTCATTGTGAGGGTATTATTTCTGTTTTTATTTATTGGTCATATTTATATTTGTGGGTTAGGAGTTCAACTGGGCCTGATAGATATGAATGAAACTAATTGCTTCAAAAGCCCAGAGGCTTGATAGTAATTTGTCTGAAGAAGTTTGTTTATTTCTCCTGGCCAACATCCTGCATAGGTTTGTGAATATTGTCAACCCCTTTAAGACACATTTATGAGAAAATAATGAGACAACAATTGATAAAGGGACTCTGGTCTCACAGCTTCTCTCTGGTCTCTGTCTGGTCCCTTTCTCTGATCCCTCCCTTGTCTCTCTTTCTGGTTGCTCTCTCTGGTCTCTCTCTCTAAAAATAATCTAGACAATAACTAGCTAACCATAGTTGATGACTTTCAACAATCAACCACAATAACCAGGAGATATTTCTCAGATGCTCTCCACCACTACGTTAAAATATAGGCTGTTTGTAATGTTGTGATGTCACATGACACTTCAGCTAGCTTGCCAATAATCACAGTCCATCCACTCTTTTACAGTCTTATTCGGGTTTACTTTTGAATGTGCTGGAAAAGGCAGAAAGTCCTAGGTAGCTCTGAAACAGTTTTTGTTTTGTGCTTTACGATTGTTATTTTCATCTGCAGTACAGTGTTCATGGTTTTACACTGATACAGACCAGAGCAGAGAGGATTCACGGTCCAAACTAAGCAGACCAAGCGTAAATCAACTGGAGGAAAGTTTTTGAAAAATGAAAAAAAAAAAAACATTCAGCATTTTACTCTGGACCAGAGAAGAGGAAATGGTCTGAACCAAGTCGACTCAGCGTACATCAACTAGAGCAGGGGTTCCCATTTTTTTTTGCCCGCGACCCCCATGATAAATGTACTTCTGCCCCATGAACCCCACCCCACTTCCACAGATCTTCGTGTCGCGTGAAATGAAAAGCATTGTCACGTTTCCACCACAGGAGTTCCTGGTAAAAGAAGTAGAAGTGTTCTCTCACTCGGCCCTCTCAGTGGCCGTGTCTCCACTACAGAGTAGGACCCCTCGGCAACGTCATGAGTTTTTATTTCCGCATAAACAAAACTCATTACTTCAAACTAATTTATTTATTTTATGGTTGGAGCCACTACGTTTGTTGTGGTCTTTGAGTTTTTTTACAATACAACACAATACAATACAATACTTAACCAAAACCACTGAAATCACCAACACAGATCAGAGAATCAACAGTTAAGAAAAAAAACACACATATGTATTGGTCCTTATGGAGAGACCAATGTCCATGAATGTTGATAAATGTCCACACACTTTGTAGAATTATAAAGTGCCCTGGATCATTACCACAGTCCTTCTTGTTAGACACGAACTGTCCAACAGACCCTCCTGAAAAACTCTAAAACCCAGTGGGAGAAAAGTGAGAAACCTCAGGGAGATTTTGTATTATTATATAGTCCTGCTTCAGTTTTTTTAACAGGAGCTGTTCAGGGCAGAACGGAGTACCTAGCATGGAGGAGGTACTCCGTTGGGCAAGTTCCTCTAAATGGCCCTGTGGGTGAGGTTCCTGCTGTGGAGACACATAAACCCTGAAGTTCTTGCGGTGGAAACACGGCTCATGTATTTGTTCTCTGGCCTGAACTCACCTCTACACTCCTCCATAGACGAGACAGAGACAGCATCGGCAGCTGAGTCTCTGTGAGCTACACAGACGAGGGACGTGAGCCTCTGCCGAGGCGAGGCTTGCATCACTCTGCTGCCGGGTAAGCCGGGTTCAAGTGATGGACTTGGCGGGCTCCCCCTGAACAGAGGTGGAAGGCTCCCCCCTTAGTAAATGGAGGGTATTTCTTGAGGCTCCCCCTCACTGTTCTCCGCTGCCCTCTCGGATGTTCCCTCCGCCGCAGTCTCCACCATCAGTTGGCCTCACCTCTGGCACATGTTATTCTTTACTCCCCCTCCAGGGTTTTCTGGAGTGGATTTTTAACCACGTTTCATTTTAAAGCAGATATTATTTGTTTGTAGCCTCTGCACCCCTTTAGCTCCAGCGGGACACGTTTTGTCGCTGCGCAAGATGTACGCTACGTAACTTGAGGTTGATTGATTGTCATAATCTCGTAATGTCTGTGACACAATTAGAAATTGAATTAAAATATATTATATTTTAATCAGACTCTTCTGCAAACACAATTTAACAAGTAGTCCTATTGAATCAAATCAACTGCAAAAAAATGTTTAACGGCTATATATTCCACTTGATTTTAATGGAAATCATCTCATCATCGACTTTGGGAACCACTGAACTAGAGAATATGAAGCAGCTCGTTACCAGCGGTAACTCTTCTGATGTGACCTAAAGTGCTGTTGCATTTCATCACTACTTTTAGAATTATGTATTTGTTTGAGTTGTTTGTATGAATGGATGTGTTTCTGCTGCTACTGGACCCCTGAATTTCCCCTAATTGGGATCAATAAAGTATCTATTTAGCTTCCTCACTGGACTTACACAGGGCATGGGGACACGTCTCCCACAGGGTCACACGCCTCGGTCTCCTCCATGGGCTTGCACTGGGCTCCCTCTCCCGCAGACAGCTGGGTGACCTGCCGGCTGCGCGCCCGTGTCCCACCTGCAGAGTCCGGGTCGGAGCAGGAGGGGGAGCAGGGCGACCATGGGCTCCAGTCGCTCAGCCCGCAGTCCCGAGGCAAGACACACGACTGGAGAGTGAGGGGCAGGTCCCGCTGGGTGCACAAGCTGAGGAGACAAGGGAGGGAGAGGGAGAAATGTGGGTCATGGATAATAGGAATAATACAAGCAATAAATCAATATTCATGGGATGAATATAGGTGAGATAGACTTGAGAGATCTGAAAGAAATCACAAAGGGACCAGAGAGAGACCAGAGAGAAACCACTGAGGGACCAGAGAGAGACCAGAGAGAAACCACTGAGGGACCAGAGAGAGACCAGAGAGAAACCACTGAGGGACCAGAAAGAGACCAATGTGAGAGAGAGACCAGAGTCACCAGAGAAAGACAGAGAGACTAGAGAGAGAGAACAGGCAGAGAGACAAGCCTACAAACTTCAATGTTCATTTTATAGCCTAATATACAGCCCATAATGTCCTGAATTGTATTTGACTTTTCATGCAAATCTTATTCATCGCAAAGCACAAAGTTACTTTTGAGCACACAACAACCTTTGGCTTTGCCATTATAGACACCTAATTTAAGTTCAGAAACTGTTAAAAAGACCACTTAGTTTGTTTAGTAAAGATTCCACACACTTATTTTGATCCAAATGTCAAACAACATACCAGCCTTTAGTTGGTATGTTGTTTGTATGTAGAGCGTTTGTTCTGCTGCGTTAGCTTCGCAACAGGGGCAGACAGTTGCTAAGGCAAGCTTGAGTTTAACCTGCATATGAAGGAATCTGATTAGTCAATCCTTATGTTCCTCATATCTGGATTTACAGACATTTGCAAGACAATATCACATTATAAACATCAGGATCACAGAGAGGGCTAAACCACAGATTTAAGGCCAAAACGATATATGTGACATAAATGGTTACTGAGTTTACTTTTTCAATAGGAGCCAGATCCCGATATCGCTGCAGGAATGATTGAGACATGTGCAACTCACAGGATGACCACTAGGGGCAATGCCAATAGAGACAGCAGAGCAACAAGATGTAACCCATCATTTGAACAGACTGCGTTTGCAATAAAAGGGCCACAGCTTTGGAACACATCACCTGCTGAACTGAAAGCTCTAACAGACTTGAAGGAGTTTAAAATTAAAGTCAAACAATGGCTCAAAAGGAACCAAACATGTGAGCACAATGCAAGACTCTAATCATCTGTTGTACATTTCTGTACTATGTAATCTGTGGGGTTATTATTATTTTTCTGTAATTTAGTATTACTTATTTACTTATTTGTTTAATATAATGATTGTCATGGTGTGGATTTTTAGTTGTGTACTTTAGTTTTATTTTATAATCAGTTCTCAGTGGTTTGGTTTTAGTTTGACTTTGTCGTCCTGTTTCCCCTGTCTTGATCGTCTGCCCCGCCCTGATGTGTTTCACCTGTGTCTGTGTGGCCTATCTATGTCTATGGCCCAGTCCCATTACCCACAATGCACCCTACACTCCTCTACGAAGTGTGCATTTGTTTGAAGTGCACACAAGGGTTGGAGTGGCAGGTTACAAGCGTGGAAAAAAGGCAGAATTGGGACAGTGCACACTGAGTGCAGGTTACGTCATCGACTCGTCAGAGATGGTCATTTTCAGACATAAACTTTATAAAAATTTAAGGTAATTTTGTCTGACCCTTTGGGAAACAAAATGAGTTGCTCCACACACGTTAAAATACATTTATATTGTTATTTGTAATTTGAGATAGCTGTATAATTTTAAGTTAAATGTGGGTAACTAGATAGATAGATAAATGCTTTATTTCAGATACAAGGATCCGAAATTTGTTTTGCAGTTCAGCAGCTCCGTAAAAATACAAACAAGACATACAGGTATAAGACAATTCACAAAGACATTATAAACAATTGTCCGCTCGCCATAACACACTTTGATTTTATGACTTAAGATCCTTGTTTAGCTTCAGGATGGACTGATGGACAAAGGAGTTCCTCAACCTGACTTTATTAAAATGTGGCACACGGTACCGCCGCCCTGATGGTAACAGCGCATATTCGAGGTTCAGAACATGGCCGGGGTCTGAAGTGATGTTCTTAGCCAGTCGCAGTGTGTTGCTATGGTATGCAGCCTCGTACAGTCCATCCAGGGGCTGTCCTACAATCTTTGAGCAGATTTTAATCAAGTGTCTCAGTCCAGATTTAGCAGTGACAGAGAGACAGCTGTACCACACAGCGTTACAGTACTGCAGGACACTGAGAATCACAGAAGTGAAGAACAGAAGCAACACCTGACGAGACGCTCCAAAAGACCGCAGGCGACGGAGGAAATATATTCTTTGTTTAGTCTTTTTACAGATGAAGTCAATGTGGTGTTTCCAAGACAAGGAACAGTCTAAGACCACACCCAGATATTTGAATGACTCCACCTGTTTGATTGGCTCGTTGTTGATGATAGTGGGAGCTGTGGTTACTGGGTTTAAACTAAATACCACCTCCTCTGTTTTTTTGGTGTTTGTTTCCAGAGCGTTGTTTTTGCTCCAAATCACAACCTTGTCTGTGCCCTGCTGGTGCAGCCCAGGACTGTCAGTATTTGACAGAAGGGTCACCAGGACCGTGTCATCCGAATATTTGAAGATGTGTTGATAGTTTGAAGTAGTTCGACAATCGTCGGTGTGTATGGTGAACAACAGAGCTGAGCTTACACAGCCCTGGGGGCTCCAACAGAGGTTGTGATGGCAGAGGAGAGTGTATCATTTACTTTGACCAGCTGGACTCTGTTGATGAGGAAAGATGCATACCAGTGAATCAGATAACTTATCTGATAAGTTTTTATACATCCTAAGATTATTGTACATTATTATTGTAGTTTAAATTGAATGTTATATGAATGCTTGCTAGAGAGCAGCCGTCCTCCTGTGGACTCACCACCTGCAGAGGGTCAGTGAGGGGCTGGTGCTATGAGACTTGGGTGGCATCTCTGACTGCCACCCCCCTGATCCAGAAATGGATTAAAGGGAAGAAAATGGATGGATGGATGAATGCTTGCTTTAAAAAGTTATTAAATTGTTAAAATACAATGTCCGTTATTCTTCAACAGACATTTATGCTTCTTTCCAAGTAACATAACAAAACTTATTTACACACATACAGCATATATATTTCAAAACTTACACTTACATACATGCTCCCGACGTTTTGGTGTTGGCAAAGAATTATGGCCAATATCCTTCGGCAGAGTTCGCTTAGATGCAGACTACAGCGAAGTGTGGATCAGGGGCTCAAAGGGGGCGGGGCCAAAGACCTCCTTGGAGGATTGGGACACCCTACGCCCTCGCACCCATCATCGGGAACGTGCAAATGAAGGGCGCGAGGTGGAAGTGCGAGTATTGGGACGGGGCCTATACAGTATGTACCCTGTGCTCCTCTCCCTTCGTTGCTGGTCCATTGTATTGTCAACGTCCTGTCATGTCAAGTTCTGTCCTGTTCCTGTTCCCCTTTGGATTTCTTGAGTTTTGGGATTTGTACCTTGGACTTTATTTTATTAAATCATTATTTTTGCATTCTTAAGTTAAGGTCTTTCCTCCTCATTTCCACCCCATGACAATGATAAATGTATAATGTAAATTATGATGTATTTCTATGTCTTAGGGACCAGGTCTGCAAACTAGCTGTAAGCTATCAACATAGCATAGGCTCGGGTAATAATGCTTCTCTATCAAATAAACACATAATAATACATTTACCAATCAACAATCTTTGTACTTTTATTATGATTTTACAATTCATAAACAGACAGGACAGAGACCTGCCACCTGGACTAATGTGAGAGGACTTCAGGACAGACCTGAGACCACGGCTAATGTAATGGTACTTCCTGGTTCTAGTCAGGATGAAGATGCAGAGTTTTGAATATTACTGCAGTTATTTAGGCGTGTTTGGAGAATCTAGAGAGCAGCTGTTATACGGGAGTAACAAAGAATCTCCAACTGTGCTTTAGACACTATATTTATGATTATGTTTATTCAGATGTAAAAAGCTGCAGATGTTACTGCTGTGATGTGTCTGTTAACATTGAAGTCTGAGTCTGGTTTGTTTCAGTGGCTGCAGTACCAGAGATTATGACCGTATCCCGCTGCTCCTGACGGTACGTTCTTGTCGGTCCAAATCTGACATAACATCTTTATCCCAGCCGCTTTCAGACACTCGTCTAAATGCCTCTTAACAGACACCATGATGCAGCGAGTGTGATAGCGCCATCCCTCCCTCTCTTCTGTTTTTAAAAGCCCCTAATGCCGCCAATGACCCACTTTTCCCCGCACCACTTCCACTTCCAGAGCGGTTTGTTGTCAGTGCTCGCCATTTCTCACGTTCAGTTTCTTTCTTGTGTTTGGTGTAAAAGCGGAGTCATTATTTCTTCATCTCCGTCAGTACGACAGAATGAGGACACAGTGTTTAAAGGACTAAGACATTGTTCATTTGGATGTGTGCTGTGCAGTTTGGGTCTCAATGGGCAAAGAGGGAGATGGCAGAGAGAGTTACTACGTGTGATTGGAGAGGAGAGCTTTTCTGAAGAGCAGTGAGAGGCTGCCGTAGAAATGGTGCAGGAAGCATTTACAACTAATAGGATATGAAAATTCGAATCTAATGGAACGTCAGCAAACCTAAAGAGAGTCCTTCAAGCAATAAACAAATGAGGGAGCGGTCTCACTTGTTAATTAACATGTGCTATATTTATTTTATCATAGAACTATAAAAAAGCTAAGGCATTCCACAAGTGGCCTGGGAGAGATCCAGTTGAGGAACATGACACAGACCTGACCGAAGCAGCACCATAAAGCAGCTGGGTGAGGAGTCCCCGATCTGCAGCCTCAGTCCTGGATCTACAGCCTGTCTGTCCAAGGGAGCAGATCCCTCTCAGAATGGGCCTGCCTAAGGTTCCCCCGTTTCCCTATTGGAATTCTAAGTAGCCTTGCCGATGCAGGAGGGTGAGACATGATCCGGGACATTTCTGCACATTTCTGTTCAGTGGTCATCCCGCTCCTTATGGACCAATGGCTCCTATATGTTTGTCATTATTGCATTTCTTGTGTTTGACCCGTCTC